CTTGGCCTCCCCTCATTATGATCCATCGTCTCCTACACACGGAACCAACCTTTGATATGATCAAACACCGTGACACCGTGCGTGTTAGATTTTTCAGCCTCATCCTAAAGTGATTTCATAGAGCATTCACTAAACAATTGCCCTGATTATAACACTGCCCTCCATTTTGAACTTCTGGTATCAAACAATGACCCCAACCTAAAATATGTTGCTCTAACCAAAGCAGTTATCGGTAGGTTTCATATGCCTTTGAATACAAAGTTCATTAATTCCACTAGATTTGTTATCTTGTATCCCCATCATTGACAATTGACAAATGCACGGGCCCACTTCTACATGTGAATGTTATCGATCCACCTTAACACTTCTGAATTTGTCAACCTGAGTTCTTCGCGGTAGTGTTGGAACGATGGTTCTATAAAGGCATACGCTGCATTAACTACTTTCTTTCAAAGCACCTTGTCTTTGATCTCTCGCATGATTTTTTTTGCGATATGTCTAATGCAATAGACACGCGTAGAAGAGGGATTTTGTCAATTGTTATCAGGGTTATTACAAGCACTCACAATTGATGGATGTCTGTCCAAAATCAAACAGAGGTTGGGTTGAGGAGCAACATGTAATCGAAGATGCTTGAGAAAGAAACTCCACACACCATCCGTCTCACCTTTAACTAGAGCAAGGCAATCAGAAAAACGTTATTGTTGCCATCTTGTGCGACTGCCATGAGTAATGTTCCTTTTATACTTACCGTACGACCAAGTTCCATCAATCTGTATAATAGGTTTTCAAAATTCAAAACCTTCGATGCATAGTTCATACGCTCAAAACATTCAATGAAATATTCCATTTCCAGTAACACAAGTTCAGTCTAAGGTAAATGCCGGGAGTGTCTCCAAAATTATAACAATTCCTGAAGCATAATATCTGAGTGCCACCAAAAATCTTGGAAGTTCTTTGTACGGTTCCTCCCAATTATCATATACTAGTTCAACGACTTTAGTCCTCACAATCCAAGCCTTCCTATAAGAGGGAGTATAATTGAATCTTATACGATGTTAGAAATAATTGTACTCACCTTCAGTGATGGATCCTTGCTAATGAGAGGCAAGATTCTTGACATATTAATTGAGAGCTAAGTTTCTGATGATCCTGTATCGGAACGGTGGTGATGCAAGTATGAGTGGATAAATGGTACAAATTTCCCAGGAGTCACTTAGTTAGCCAAAACGGGAAAATTGGTTTTTAACGACACAAAATGGTGTACCTCCCTAAATTAGTGCGATCAACAAAGAAGTAAGCAAAAATTTCCATGTGATGCTTTTTTATAGCTCCCACACATCCATCTCTTGTAAGAAATCTTTCTCCAACTTTTAACGCCTATTTGGTCCGCATATAAGGATTGTGAAAGACATCTGAGGTTGGTTCGTCGTCTCCCAAGTTCAAGTTTGTCATGTGAATCGGAGGAACGTACACATGACTCATAGGTAAAGGTTCATGCTCTTGATCTTCAGAGTCATCATTCACCATAAAATCAACCCTGGTCTCATCATCTTCTTCTTCTTATTCTTCGTCACTAACATCGACTTCGGGGTAGTCATCCTCGTCAGATTCATCTTCTTCTTCAAAAAATTGTGAAGAATCTATACTTGGTTGTTGCATTAAAACATATAACTCAATTTCTTCGAACTCAAAATGTTCATGAGTTCAAAACATATTAGTTATTTCCAAATACAAATGGACTCTTGTAAATAATTTGGTAAACTTGACCACATTGCAATTTTGCCTTAAGTATTTCTTTGAAATGTGCAAAACCAGATTTCCGATTTATTCTAAATTGGATAAAATCGGTATTGCAAAAATTAAACCTAAAGTTATCACAGTTGAACGTCTCACTGTTTATGTAAGCATAGATAATGTAATGTTGTGTATAATCCATTTGGTTTAGTTGGAGTGTGTTTTGGCAATATAAATGTGTCAATTGTAGCGTGTTTTGGAAAGACAACAATTTCAACTATAGTGTGTTTTGGATGGATAACAATGCACGACTTAAATAGGCTACAAAAATTATGGGCAGATTAACACATATGTGCCACCTAAAGTGGCTTGTCCTCATTATTTTACATTGATGCACCATCTAGGTTGGCTTGTACACTTTTTTTACACACATGTGCCACCTAGAGTGGCTTGTCACGTGAAACCTAGCCCTGCATGCATGCCACTGTCTTCTCCCTACCTCCTTAGGCTGCCACCTACCTCCTTAGGCTGCCACGCAACAGGTTTGCATGCATGCAAAAAGTGTGATTCCATCTTGAATGGCGCATCAACATAACTTAAAGAGCATGTGCCACCTATGGTGGTGCCTTTGTGTAAATTGCATGCAAAAATTCATATACGTGAATGTACATGCCACCTTCCATTCTTCATATAAATACATATAACATACACATTATATCTTCATCGCCCTCATAACTCACACACTATTTCTACTTGAATCATCAATAACAACAGAAGAATACTTCAAAAATTATGGCTTTGTTGACCATGATTGATCAACATAGAGGAATTCTTGACAACATTGCGACCTTTGTAAGTTTTTATTCTTCTTTAACGATAATGAATGAATGCATTTAGTTTCCTTATTATTTTTCATCTTATAATATGATAAGATAATTAATTATTTTATAGGAACCAAAGAGATTTCATTTTCGTGTGCACGAGTATGTCCCTTACGACAAACATATTGAACTATATTTACGACAAGCCGATTTTGGTCCTTTACTCAACATAGTCAATTACCATGTTGGTTACAAATTTATTCTCGCATTGGTGGAAAGATGGAGACCCAAAACCCATACGTTTCATCTTCCATGCAGTGAATCTACTGTCACCCTAGGGGACATGTACATGTTATTCGATCTCCCTATAGATGGTAAGGATGTTAATGGTCGAGTCAACCAAGATTATGCCATATGCGAGGAAATTTTGAGTGCTCCTTTATTTGAATCAGGGTCAAGGGGCCAAGGTATTAATCTCAAGCTCTTTAGAGACCATTATTCAAGCACGGTACTGATATGAAATTCTATTGAGCAACAAAAAATGGTGAAAGCTCGGATTTATATTATGATATTATTTGGTCACTTTTTATTTCAGTTGTTAAGATATTTTGATAAAATAAGAACATATAGTTGGGGTTCAACTGTTTTGGCCCGTCTATATAGTTCTTTGTGTAAAAATGCATGAAATGATACTTGTTCGTTTTATTCATATGTTTTTTGCTCCAAGCATCGGGTTGGTCAAGAATGCTGACACTAGTCCCCCCTGTAACGAAAGGTCATTTGTGCTTCCATATGCGACAACACATCTTACCTCAATGCCGATGATACATATGATACATCCCCTTCCTACCATAGCCTCCAACCAACATACAACCAAACATCACACCTCTGAAGCACCCAATCATCACATGTCTTTCAAACACCCCAAGAACCATTGCTCTGTTTCCAAAACGATTCCTCATCCCAATTCTATCGACCACCTCACCCACACATAACCCAACCAACTAGAGTCAACTTCGACAACGTGGGCACCGGTCTCTTTGGAAGCACCTCATGCCGGAGAGAAATGGTTGAGAAGTTGTTTAACCCGAATGTCATGGGACCATCGCATCAAGCACCGGTGCCTCAAGCGAGTTAGAACATATCCCAAACACCTCAGAGAAATTTGAAATAGAGACCTCAAAGGCAGATACGGGACCATCATTGTCATACTGGTGGGCGTTTGGGTGGAGGGGTCGAGCGGATAGAGGGGGTCGTGTAGGTAGAGAGGGTCGTCGGTAAAAATATTTCCTATCATTATGTAATTTTTTCATTCAAGTAATATTATTATAAAATGTTTTTATTTAGATTTATTATTTAATTTTTTTTTCAAATTAAAAAATGGAAAATGTAAAACAACTGAGTACCACACTGAGTGGCTACTCCTATTAAACAATACATGCATACGCCAACTAGATGACATTATATAAGAGCACAAGCTATATAGTGTGACGGCTCCTCCTACTTTTACATGCAGTTGTCACACATAGTGATAACTCCGTGTGACGGACTTTTTTGTTTGAAAATCAGACGATTTATATTTAAAACTCAATATTTCATTTTAAAGTAAATTAAAAAATTGGATTAAAATCTAGACCATTTAATCTTAATCCAACGATTGCAAACACATCAAATGTGTGAATAAGGCAAAACTATGACAGTGTGAGATCTGATTTTCTTAAGAGCATTGTTATCTTGACACCCCATTTTGATACTAAATATTTACATTGTATTCGTTGTTCACCATATTTATACGGTGAACAGTGTATTTCTATTGAAATATTTTTTTATTAATATTTTTTAAAAAATTTATTTTATAACACAAATATATGATTGTGTCATTAACTAACTTCACAATTGTATTAACCATAAAAATATACGTTATTAAGCAATTATTTTATTTACAAGTTATTAATCATTTCAGTATTTCATTAACTAATAAAATACATAGTATTAACCATATTCTAATACTAAATTATAAATATATTAACTAATTTTTATACTTTATTAATCAATTTTATTTTACTATTTAATTTTTTTTATATTTAAGAATTCATTAACCAAATTATAAATTGTATTAACTAATTTTATATAAACTATTAAACGGTATATATTAACTTTTTTATATAAAAATATATATTAATCAAACTTAAAAAGGTATTAATCAATTTTTAATATTTTATTAACTAAAATAATTTTTAAAAAAACAAAAAATATATAAAAAATTAAAATAATAATAAAAATACTATTCACATATTTGTGGACAGTCTTGTTATACATAGGTGTAAGTTTCGGGTGTCCATGTATCTTTTCTCTTTCCTTAAACACAGCATGAGAAGTGAGAACGTATAACTCCAAAGGAAAAACAATCATCTCAAAGCCAAAAAAGAGTGAAATTGTGAATTACCAGATGGGGAAACAAAAGCTTCCAAGGGCGTGGCAGTTTGCGGCAGAAAGATGAGGAGGCGCGGTTTCACATCGAATTGACGACGGAGCGCGATGCTGGGCGGTCGTTGGCCGAAACGGGGGTTGTATGGTTGAAATGAGAATAGAGGGAGGTGGCCGCCGTGAGTGAAACACCGACGGACTAGAGGTGCGTGGTGATTCGCTCGTGTAGACAATGACTTTTGATGTTGCTCCGAGCTTCTCCTCCTTCAGTTTTCGCGTTTCTGTATTGTCGCTTGATTGTTGAGATACTACTTCTTTTTTTTTTTTTTTAGATTGTTGAAGATTTAAAGAGATTGATGATTGTGTTGTGTTTGTTTCGTTAGCATGGAGTTTGGCTGGAAATCTCTTGGGACAGGTTTTGGTTCATGGTTGATAATTGAGGTATTGGTTTATGTGGTTTACGTTAGTGATGATTGTGGTGTGAAGGAGTTTGAAGGTTGAGAATGTAGTGGTGATGGGGAAGATTTTGGTTTGTAATTGTCAGGTTTATGTTGGCTTTTGAAAATTTCATGGTGGTGAAGGTTTTGCTAGGATTTGTTAGTGTTGGAGATGGGTTGTAACAGGTTCTTTCATGTTGTCATGGTTTATGAAGCTTTGAATTTGTTTGGTTTAAAATGATGTACTGATTTTGGTTTATGAAAGGTTTGGTTGGTGAATGGTTGTTTTGAATTTACATGTTACATGACTTAATGTTAATGGTGCAAGACTTATGTTGGAATTGAATGTGATGAAAGTTTGTGATGGTGATGATTTGTTTGAAATGGTAAGTATGTGGTTGATGGGTTATCTTGAAGTAACATGGTGGTGGTGATGAACGTGCTTGGAATTTTTTTTCTGTAAAAATATGACACGTGAGGGAGAGGGCTATGTACAAAGTGAGAGTGAAAAAATGTGTGAAATATGTGAATTTTTTTCCTACATGCCACGCCCATGAAACAAAATTCTCAAAATGTCACGCTCTGAAAAACAATTCCCAAGGTGCCATACTCAGGGGGGTTCACGCCATTTGAGATGGCGCGAAAGTGAGCAGGAAGGGCTCACGCCAAATCAAATGGCGTGAAATGCCTTTATATTTTTTTTTTCGTTTTCTGACTTTTTAGTTATTTATTTTAACTATTTTTATTATTTAATGTTTATATTAATTACAAATACTTTAATAAAATTATTTAGTTATAAAATTAATACTTCAAATAAATATTTAACAATTACAATATGATAATAAATTTTTTTTATTAAATTAATAAAATATCACAATTACAATCAAAATGCAAAATAAAATAAAACTAGTTAGAAGGGCCTGCATTGTTGAGGCGATGCGGACATTTTTTCCGCATATGAGGTTGTTGATAGATACCGCATCGTCTTTTTATTTTTTCAACAGTGTCCATTTCAGTTCTAATGCGAGTACTGTTTGGGCGACCTTTTTTGTTTCGTCGCATCCTTTCATCATGGATAAGAGTATCGCCCAAATATGGAGGCCAACTATCTTCTTGGGGAACACCGAGGAAACTTTGTATGTAAATTTTGAAGACGTTTATAACTTTATACAAGTCAGGAATAAACGTAGTATAGTCGTGGTTAATGTGAGAACACGCTGCGATAGCATGTGAGCAAGGCAGATGAAAAGTTTGAAATCTCCCACAGTCACAAGTTTGTGTTTGGAGGTTAACGTTGAAATGGGTAAGTGGCCGACAATTCCTATTATTAACCGTCTCTTGAACCAAGAAATAATGACTTTCACGGTCAAAAGCCAAGACATTATAACTGTGGGACTTTTCTACTTCTTCTGCAATTCCTTTCATGCAGTTATCTGTGAACTCCTTTCCCGATGACAAATTTTTGGTCCAATCTTTTCCTCGCTTACCCCACAATGTTCCCATCCTGTAGTATGTTGATCTTACAAGTGATGTAATAGGTAGGTTTCGGGTTTCCTTCAAAACTGAGTTCAAAGATTCAGCTAGGTTGGTTGTCATGTGACCCCATCGTGCTCCTCCGTCGTAAGCTCGCGACCATTTTTCTCTTGGAAGGTTCTCTATCCAATTAAAAGCCTCTGTATTTGTTTGGCGGATCTCCTCCCGATAATATGCGTATGTAGACTCATTAATTGCATACCCTGCATAAAAGCATTAAAACATTAATATAAAAGAACTATATATTGAAATGTCGTGTTAAAAATTATAGAGTAATTACCCATGTTAACAACTGTCTTGCGAAGGTTTTTGTCCTTGATGGCTCGCATGAAGTTTTGTGCGATGTGCCTAATGCAATACACATGCACCGAGGGTGGGTTCTGCCAGCCATTATCCGGGTTATTGTAGGCACTCTTAATGGACTCATGTCGATCAGATATCAAACATAAGTCTGATTGGGGTGTGACGTGGAGTCTCAAATTTTTCAGAAAGAAACTCCAAGCTCCCTCGGTCTCACCTTCGACCAATGCATATGCGATTGGGAAAATGTTACCATTCCCATCTTGTGCAACAGCCAGGAGCAATGTTCCCCTATATTTTCCATACAGCCATGTACCATCTACCTACACTATAGGTTTACAATGTGCGAAACCCCTAATACAAGGTTGAAATGCCCAAAAAAGGCGATGGAAAATTCTTGCACCACCAATTTGTGTTCCTTCATTTGAATATACAGGAAGTGTTTCAAGATCTATGACGGTACCTGGGAGAAATTATTGCATGACTAGCAACCACTGCGAAAGTTTGTTGTAAGAGGCCTCCCAATTGCCATAAATATCTTCGATTGCTTTGTTCTTTGCAATCCATGCCTTTTTGTAAGACACGGTGTAGCCATAAGTCGTACGAATATGAGCAACAATATGTCTAACCTTGATTGTCACGTCGCTGTCAACAAGAGGTCTGATGTTATGGGCGGTCATCTTTGAGGTAAGCTTTTTGTGATCTTGAGATATAGCAGTCGACATGCAAGTGTGTGGCCCTCCAATTCTGCCAATAACCCATTTACCACACCCCTCCCTTAACGAAGCCCTACATGTGAAGTTGCATTCCTCCTTTTTACATTTAATTAAATATCGTGTCGGATCAGACTTACAAACCTTAAAAGTATGAGAATTTTTTATGTGATACTCAGATATTGCATGGAGACATGCTTCTTTGTTTTCAAAAGTCATACCAACCTTTAAGTCATCATGTGACTCACGTTCGTGTACGGGTTTGAAGACTGAAATTGGTTCCACACATTCAAATGAAACATTTCTTAAGTGATAGGGTGGGTTGTACAGATCAAGTATAGGAGCCGGTTCTGCCTCCAGTCTGTCATCGTCACCTGACTCGTCACTGGACCCATTAAACAAATTAATTTGTTTGGCATCGTCGGAGTCAGTATCATCACCCACTTCCTCTTCCGGAAATATTGGCTCGTTATGTTGTGCTTGGACAGACTCTTCTTGTTGGGAGACCTGACTTTGTTGATATGCATGAGTTTGTGATAATTGTGTTGGAAATACTTCATGCATTTGTTGAAAACAAATATACAACTCCATTGCTTGTTGACTGCAAAACCTTGAGTGGCATTGAAGCATTGAATGGACATCTTCATCGTCTTCGATTTTTGCAGTGTTGTATGTGACATTGTGATCAACTGGATTAACTATTGGAAATCGATAAAAAATAGAAGTTACATGTTGTTGTAAAGTTTCTTCTATTTTTTCTGTCAAGTGAGCTAAATCACTTTTTCGATGAATATTTAAAATATGTGTATCTGTATTTTGAAATACCACTCCAATAATTTCATCGGTAAAAATATTACCATTGAAATGTAACAGACAAGAAATATGATTTTGTGGCATTGTGTTTGATGTAATGTTCAATTGTTTGAATAGGTGATAGCTTGGTTTGTTGAATAAGATACAACTATGTTGAATTGTATTTCATGCATGTATTAATAAACAAACAGCAATTTGTTGGATTTATTGTATTGTCGCCAAGTCAAATGGCGTGATGCTTTGGTCCTTGTACACTTGCGCCATCTCAAATGGCGTGAGCCCTTGTAGTCGCTATTTCAAATGGCGTGAATACCTTGCACGCTCCAATTAAAATGGCGTGAATACCCTAGTTATGCCAAGTCAAATGGCGTGAACCCTAGGGTTGCGCCAATTCAAATGGCGTGAAGCCTATGTGTCTGGCGTGAAGTCATATGTGCCATGCATATAAGAGCTACATTAAACGATTATGTTATCAGATTAAAATGAGTCTGATACTCTGCTCAGTATACATTATTCTGTATAATTCACAGGTTGTTATGTTTGATTATAGAAATGCATTTTCTAATCCTTTGGTTGTGCGGCTTATGGAAAGATCTAAACTAATTCATTTGAAAAATCAATTACGTCAAGTCACAAATATTAATAGGAGCATTACAGAGATATCTTTCAACCGGACTACCATCAACGAAAATGGAGTCTTGATGCAGCATATTACAAAGTTAGTTACAAATACATATGTATTTAACATGTTTGAGGATTTTCGAATTGGTGTTAATAAAACACCATTTGAGTTGTATGTCAGATTCAGTAGATCAGCCGATGAGGTTTTATCATTGTGTACAAAACCGTGTAATTTACAATATTCGCAATAAATTGCAAATTTATATTTATCCAACTTTCATTAAATTACTCTACTACCTACCAACTCTAATTAAATTACTCTACTACCTATTAATCATAATTAATTAAATTATTCAACTACCAACCAACCACACTCACCTCATTTTTCCTATAAATACTCAATCACTCTCACCTCATTTTTCCACAAACACACTTCATTCTATTCACACTCTCTACTATCTTTTGATAAGTCTTCTCTTCTCTCTTTTCATAAGTCTTCAATTAGTTCTTCATTTTCACAATTATGGCCAATATGTTTTGGTATGGTACACAACATAGGGGAACTGTAGAAAATATCAATGCTGTAAGTATTTTTAATTTATTCAACTTTATTCATATTATTTATTTTTGAGTTTACAATAGTAGTTTTATTCATAATTTGCATAGAAATATTGAATATTTTTCTATATTACTTATTTCTATTACAGATTGATGATAGTTATATTTCAAAATGGAGAATCCATGCTCACAAACCTCTAAAGCCACATGCAGTCATAATCCCGTACCTTCACCAATCTGGGTTCTACCATGTATCTACAATAGGGTCAACACACATCGATTCAAGGTTAATTATAGCCTTACTGGAACGGTGGAGACCCGAAACTCATACATTTCATCTTCTAAACGGTGAATGCACAATTACATTGGAAGATGTGAGTATGTTATTGGGGCTTCCTGTAGATGGAAAAGCGGTAAATGGTCAATCTGAGCTAGGTGATGGTGCATGGAGTTCTATTTTAGGGGATGAACCACTACAAAGTGATAAGGGAATGACTGCGAGGTTGACATGGCTTAAAGACATGTACCAACATGAACCACCAACCGAGGAGTCACCCGAGGAGTATAAAATTAAACATGCTCGTATTTATATCTTACTCCTTATCGGGCAAGTTTTGTTTCCCAACAAAAGTGGTAATACTATACACTCAAAATGGACACAATTTGTTGTGGATTTAGAAGATTGTGGAAAATTGAGTTGGGGTCCCTCCGTTTTAGCCAATCTATATAGGGAAATGTACAAGTCAGTAGACATAAAAGTAACAGAGATGTCAGGATGCGTTTTACTTCTTCAAGCTTGGGCTTTTACACGCATGCCTATAATATCTCTGGTGGCTCCGCTTCAATCTCCATATCCTTACGCAAGAAGGTAATATTTTATTTTAAATTTAAAATTATAATTAATATTGTTAGGATACTTTAAAATAAAATTTAATTTTAAATTCTTTTTAGGTGGTGCGTCAAGAAACTTGACTACCAAAACAACCCGCGCCACCATCTACAAGGATACCGATTCAGGATTGATCACATGCTTCAAGATCAGGTTTTTTTGTCTTCACCTTAATATTTCTTATAAATTTTTTAATTTTATTTTGGTTAAACTAAAAAAAATTTATCTATAACTTCTCAGTTTATTTGGAGGCCGTATCTTGGATTAGCGCCCCAAAGGCACGAGGACAGTTTGATATGGAGTTCAACTACGTATATAATATGCTTTCATATTGTAGAAATGCATCAAGCTGATAGGGTCAAACTACAATTTGGTCATTTACAAGGGATACCTGAAGAAGCTCGATGCTTGGCTGAACACCATAAGATGACAACAATAAAAGCGCGCCAAAAAGCATATACCACATTATACTCTGATGAACAAAATTGTTGGTTGCATTGAGAATTGTTTACGTTGGATGAAGATCAATTACAAACAGAGGAGAAACCGTCAAATGAGTACATGCAATGGTATCACTCGCTTCCACATAGATATGCATCGTACGAACAATTTCTCACTGACCCTCGTCAAAATCAATATGCCCCTACTCAGGAAAGTGGCTCTCAACAAACTCACCACTCACAACATTCTCAACCTCCTCAACCCCAATCCTTCCAACAACAGACTCCTCACTTTTCCCAACATCAAACACCCATCCCCCATTATCCTGAACAACAAACTTCTAACCCTCATTTTTCTCAACTACAAACTCCCGCCCCTTATTTTTACCAAAATCAAACCTTTAACACCCAATACACGCAATCTCACTCCCAACCAAATTACATTTATGAATACCAACAACCACAATTTTATAATAGGCCAACTACACAATTCACACCCATTATGCGGCCAAACATCGATTCCTCCTCCTCCCAACATAACCCGCCTTATTTTCCAACCATGTGTCCGCCACAACAGCCGCAATATAATTTTGGCGAGGATCTTAACGTCAGTGATTATGATTTACTACAAAGTATTTGATCTCCTCCACAAGCTACCGCTCCTAGTCAAGAAAATCCTCCAACATCAGATGCAACATGTAACACCCCTTCTAAATAACCCGCGAATAATATTAATTAAATCAGAGTAACATGGAAAACAGGGATGTCACAATCCAAGATAAATATAAAAACCTCAAATCTACAGTTGTCAAGCTTTACTGAAGGAATTATTAAGATAAATATTCAAATCAACATCATGTTCTACACAGCGGAAATGTCTCAAAACTGGAATAACTTCACTTCATAAGTATTCCCAACATAAATTAAACAATAGAGTATAAAATGAAACTCATCATTCAAACGTTTCCCCCAGTGTTACAACCTATCAGAGCACGACACTGACACGCGAACTTAAAGTAACATAGATCTAGAGCCATCCTCACCAACTCTTGAGCTGCTAACTTTAATCTGAAATTGTAAAGTAAGGGTGTGATTTCTCATAATTAACATGCATTATAAGTCTCTCAATCAACATTATATCACAAGCATATTATTTCACCCATTTTAGCATAAATTCAGATTCAACACACAGTTCCAATCATACAAGTCATTATGCACAAATCAATAATCAACCAAAAAATTACAACACTGGAAGATATCCTAACATGTTACAATTCCATGCAAACACAAATGCAGACACAATGCATGTGGTACTAACACGTGACCAAGTCACCCAACACTGATCCATCATCAACCGGATACAGCAACCATCGATTCGTCCATAAACACCCGGACACGAATCCAGCCTAACCATCCATCATCACCCGGGTATCGGTTAACGGTAATACAAGTCAAATTCCACACAATGGGAATTAACTTCACCAAAACAATGCATATGCATGCACATCACCAGCATGCAACATCAAATCAACGGAATATGATCACAACATAATTCCAAATAATGCCAAAACCAATATATCACATGATCACATCTCAATCATAATGCATAGCAGGCACAACACATAAGTATCAGTTCTCATTCACCAAATCAGAACAATTTACAAACAATTCTACATCATTCTCAAAATACCAAAGTTTACAAAAATCGGGAATTCGACTCTTTTTAAAATAATTTTCATAAAATAATATTTTTCTTATTTTATAAGATAGTATTTTTAATTTAAGAAATACTGCCGAAAACGGCACTCAAATCGGACTTACGGTTTGAAAGTTATGAATTTTCAAAGTTTAATATTTTTCAAAAAGTTACAGCAGAACCCGGTTCCTACATATGCAGGAACCGGTTCCTGTGAAGTTTCAAAAATCACGCTTCTGGAAATTGTATGGGAACCTGGTTCCTACCTGTGATACGGTGGGAGAACTGATTATGGTTTTGCGTTTGTATTCGCACTTGTTCGATTGAGCAAGAGTCGCCACCGACTTTTTATTTTATCCTAAAGGAAAGGTTAAAAAAGCACAGCAAAAACCTTTTGAGATATTTCGTGGGTTCGGGGGGTAGATTATGAAAAGGGAAGGTATTAGCACCCTTTTCATCCATGGTTATCCATGGGCTCTTAGTTACTTGGTTTTTAGATCACTTGCCTTGATTTTCGATTGCTTGAAATTGTGGTCTGTGTGTGCGTTTTGAAAATGTTTTTGAAGAGATGCCTTGTTTTAGGCAACCAATGTATTTGACTCGTGTTTGAGTGTTTTACAAAAGTATATATATTTTCGAAAAGATGTTTCAAATGTTTTTGAGAGTTTGTTTTGAAAGCGTGTATGAAGTGTGGTTTTTGAAAAGAAGGCAAGTGTTTTTGCAAGTTGATCTCAAGTAACTAAGAGTTTTGTCTACCCTATTGTACTCAAAGTTTTTCTCTATGTTTTCAACCCTTTTTAACAATTTTGTTCCACCATTGAATTTGGTGGACAATCTTGCGTTTAGGATGTTTAACGGGACGGGCGCGGGTCATCGTATG